ATGGAGCGGCATTGCTTTACACCGCGCTGCCAGTGATGTCAGTACGTAGAGTACTTGGGGGTCGTCGCCGTGCGTGTGCTTGTCCGTACTTGTATCCAGGCCTCTCGCTTTCACGCTGGAGGTCAGTCCCAGACACGAAGCTTTGGGGCTCTAGGGAGTGGGCCACGGCATCCGAACACGCGTGTGCTGAGCTGTATACATGTTTTTTCGTTGTTTTTGTTCTTCTCAGGCACATAAAAGAACGCGTTCGTAAGCTACGACACTGTAATTTACCGCATAAGTTTGTCTAGGTGGTGGATCTAATTTGTCAAAATATCGAAGAAAAGACTTGCCGCACTCTAAAGTTACAAAAAAAAAAAGTGATTCGAGCTAGTTAGTGGTTGTAGTCTACATGCGCACCATTCCTCGTTCAACGGAGTGTGAATGGTCCATGTTCAACACTGCACTTGACAATGACTGTTTTATTGATCTGGATACTTTTATCGTGTTTACCATTTCTGTACGACATGCCACTAAGCAATGCGAAGTTCATTGCTATGTTGACTGCACGTTTTACCTTACGTCTTCACTGTGGTTTGGCTGGAATCATCCTTTTCACTAATTTAATGCAGGACATATAGCGACAACCCGCAAATGCAGCTTTTTTAGCTCTGCCTCTTTTCTCCATATGGAATAAATAAAGCATTTGATTTTGAATCCCCGCATCAAGGTCGTGTGCCATGTTCCAAACTAAGACAACGTTGTTTTTTTTTGTTTTTTGTTTTTTTCAGCAGACACGTTGTTTAGTGAGGACAGTGAAGACAACGATGGCTGGAGCCTTGAGTCACATGCAAAAGGCCCACTGCCACCTGCCGACGACCTTCACAAGGAGAGTGCTTCTGACACCACGACGCGCACCGAGTTGCTCGCTCAAACGAGCCTTAGAGTCCTCACAAACAAACCAAAGGTTATATCGAAGCTACACGGGCTACAGATAAAAGGAATGGCTAAACACGCCAATCACCAGCCGAAGTAGCGGCGGTAGCGGCTCAAAGCGCACTTTACACGGCCTGATTACGCAGCGGGTGCGTCCGTCCGGACCGCAGAAAAAAAAAAAAAGAATGACCGTGACATCACGGCCCAAGGTTGCTTTTAGCGATCGGTGACCCGCTGGCGGCCCGCTAAGGAGCGGCAAGTCCCATCTTTATTGTGGGCATTAGTTGGGAATGTGGCGTCCTCTTGACGTAATATTTTGGCTGGGGTCGTATTTTGCGCCACTAAAGCGATACCAGCAATTGATTTCCTCTCGAGTTTTGGCCGGAGTTGCCCTTTAAGTAGACTAGCGTGTCCACTTGCTTTTCTTCGGCTTCTGCTCGTAACCCCGAGGCTGTGCGGCACCGAAGAGAACGCCTCTTACATCCGGGCCATTCGTCAGAAATGGCCAAGTAAATGGCTAGCCTCATTGAAATTAAAACTAATAATTGCGTACCTTCAAGTTGCACATTGAAATTCTGTGACAACAGTTTTTTGCGGTCGCTTCGGCATCGGGAAAAGAGCCGGTTGCTTCGCATGCCGAGGAATGAAGTCTGGCGGTACACACCCCTGACACCGTGTTAAAGGATGCGAAAAAGGCAACCATTCTATGTAGGGTGAAGCCAACGGCTTTGCCGACAAGTGTTGGCAAAGCCGTCACAAGAGATGAACTATATCACAAAGTCTCCGGTGCCCAAGCAGACATTGGAACTTCCTATTCTCAAAAAAAAAAAACAAAAAAAAAAAAAAACAATGCAAATTAATGCACTTACATTTTAATAACAATATCAACGAAGGTCGCACAAATACGCTGCAATCTTTGTACTTGATGTTTTGGCAAGGCACATTTTGTGCCAAGTGTCATACAAAGGAAAAAAATGCCGCGTAACTTCCGCTTAACAAGGAGGTGTTTCATCCCACTCTAAAGCGTTTAAGTCTCGTGACACCTTGACCACTAGTAGACAACTTTGTATGGTCCAAGCCTAAGAAGTGGTTGGGCAGACAGCTGCTCAGTAGAGCCCCCCTAAACCAATCTGGCTTGGACGGCCAGAGCCCCAGCCAGGACCCTCATCATTTCTTCACATTCATTTCAACTCCTGACATACCGCAGAACCCCTCGTTGTGCATAGGTGCAAGCCAGACTTCTGGCATCTAGGAAAAAAACAGCGCTCACGTCATTGGTGTAAGCAGCAACTTGATAGGTGACACTGCAAAGCTGGCCTTGTGTACGCTATAGCCGGTGACAGGTCAAGAACAAAGTGGCAGCCCCTCCCACCTCTCGCCACTTTAGAGGAGCGAACGCTAAAGAGGAGGCAACCTCCCCTCCATCGTTCGCTCCGCCGAAGTGGAAAGGGGTAGGAGGGGCTGCCACTTTGTTCTTGACCTGTCACTGACTATAGGTCCATATAGAATTGCCTCGCAAAGAGGCTCCAAGCACAATGCAGGTGTATGGGCGACATCGGACAACCCTGTCCGATGTTCCCTATGGCTGCTGTAAAACACCGTGTTTTACGGCAACGAAAAAGAAGGCTGGTCATTCCGACTCTGTGACATATTTTAGATAGCATACAACTAGAGCCCTGCGCGGAAAACAGTTTGAGTATCCGCATCCCATCCGCATCCGCAGACTTTGTAACCGCATCCACAAACGTTTTACATTATTGTATGCGTATCCAATCCATATCCGCATACTTTGTATGCAAATTCGAACAGCATCCACAAAATGTAGAACTATGTCGATGTTCATGCTAACCACCAGAGGTTACGATTACATTTAGACTAGCAAAATCAGCGGAAATCATGCCGATCGCACTCTTCCCCGCCGCACGCGGAGTCGGAAACTTTCACCTCTGGCCCCTTAACTGTCCCCTGAGGTCTGAACGCCTAAAAAAGATCATAAAAAAAAAAAAAAAAGAAGAGTTCTGAAAGAGAAAAGAAGCAGCGGTAGGAAGACAAAATCCTCTCTGTGATGTTACCGAGCGTATGCGGCCGCCTCGAGTCTCACGGTGTTTCGTGTCAGCCAGCGGGCAGATGTGCCGCTAAGTCAGAGCCCAAGGCCTGATCGGATCGACTAACGTGTCGTTCGAGAAAGATTCTGGCCTGCAGGTGCCCAAATGTATAGATTGAAAGAAAACATTTCTTTTTTTCTTCCTCGGGGCGGCTACGGAGGTTGCGCGCAGCAGCCGCTGGCATTGCTGGCACTTGGCGTCGTAACCGGACGAATATGAACTACCAGACTTTCTTGGCTAGAACTGTAAGCGTACAAAAAAGAAACGGGCAATTTACAGGCTGCCTATGTGCGTGCACCACTGAGTCCAAAACTTTGCAAACCGTGGCGCCACAGGGTCGCGCTCGCTGTCGAAGCACTTCTTTTGCTTTTGGTATCATGACCACACCACTCTCTGCGGAAAGGGGGAGATTTCTTCCACTTTCTTGTGACTTGTTCATTTGAGGTTTTCTTTGCCCGGAGAAAGTTCTCCGCATTTTCCCTGCCAAAGAACTCGCTTTCTTGGGACGATTGATGCCCTGCATTCTTTACTTTTCTTTTTCTATAAATAGCATTTTTGACAAGATGAAATGCACTAACTGGAGCGATTTTCAGTAAGAATTAGATCTTTCTTAGGATCCCTAGCATTTCTTCGAAGCCAGTTTTATGGAAATACGTTTCGTGGACAACTTTTAACGGACATACATTTCATGGACACACGGTTCGTCGACGCCGTACGTTTTGTAGGCACAAGCCCCTGCGTTTTGTCGACAACGCATTTCTTCATTAAGCCGCTAAAAGCTAGCGCGCGGTTCACTAAGACGTGCTTAACCAAACCATGTCTCCCTCCCCCCTGTAATCCAGGCGAGACGCAAAAAGTTTGTTACAAAAATAGCAGGGTTGTGTGCGACGATACGCCCGAGGCTTTTCAATGAAACGAACACGGGAAGCCTTTCGATCAAACGTCGTATGTCGACGAAACGATCTGTAGATGAAACGTCAGTCGACAGACTGAACGCCACCGGGCAAGAATTTAGATCCCGATCCGCGGATATCCGCAGCCCGTGACATCCGCATCCGGAATCTGCCAAAATCCGTCTGATTTTTATTCGCATCTGCCAGTTTACTGCGGATATCCGCGGATAATTTGCAGATATGCAGGGCTCTACCTACAAGCCATTCACCTACCAATCAGTATTCTAGGACACAAAAAGAGAACAAGTTTGAGATTTTGTCAAAAGCCTTCTTTAGATCAACCTGTGTCGCAGCTATTGCAGTCTCCACTATATGAAGGTGCTTCCCGAGGATTGTTCGCAGCGCACACTCTAGCCGCCAGTCGGTAGTTTTGGAAGTATATTGTAATCTGCCGTTGGTAAACTGACTGGCCGTTGATGCTCAGCCGTGCACGTCTCCTCGACGGCAGCCTCCTCCACAAGGTTGATGCCACCGCCCATTTCATTCCTCAACGGTTCACGCGACGATTCTTCTATGTGTTCCGACACGTTAGCAAACATCCCGAGGGTTCTTCCAAGATGGTCTCCACCTACTGTCCATCAACATCGCCGTTTCAGACTGCTTTCTGCGCGCTTGCATTGACACACATTTTTTTCCCGCTAGGTACGGCTTCGCGTTTCTGATTTCATCGATTAAGACTGCCCAACAACATTGTGGAAGGGTTTCCAAGAGGATCTTCATCGAGCGTCGGCACCCACCTACGCTTTATGCGTGCGCTTTGTTTCCTCCGTCTTTGTGCACGGTGCAGCCACGGTGCACATGGTCCGTGCAGTTGACAATTAAGGCGCTCGACACTCCCGACGCGTGGCGAGTTTGACTCCGCTAATCGCACACGAGGCTGGAACTCCGAGTGACCCATTGCGGCGGCTGTTGCCCCGTGCCGAGCGGCCGTAAAACAATTCCCGAGGGGTACATTCTCCCAACGTACCAAAATAAAAACCGCCCTTAAAATACCTGGCGGAGGAAAGCCCCAGCGGAGCGCACTGACCGTTTGGGGCTGCCCGTAGCCCGCGTGGTAGGGCCCCGTCGCCTGGGGCGGCAGCGTGGTCGAGTAGCGGGACAGGAAGGCCGCCGTGCGGTACTGGGCGGGTGCCGGTCCAGCCAGTCCCTGCGAGGAACCGCCCTTGCCCCGTCAGCCCACGGCTACGCTACCGCAGACTGGGGGGGCTCTTAACACATATTTTGTACATTTGCGTTTGACCCAAGCTCTTATACGCAAGTAAGGGTGGTGCAGTACAAAGGAAAAGCTAAACAAACAGTGTTGAAGGGGCCTGGACACGAAAATTAAATGGGTAGATTATTCCTGAAATGGAACACTCGTAGGCTACATTGTATATGCACTTAGTTTGGCGATTTATAGAACTCTCGCCATTTGCAATAATCAATTTAGGAGTGTTGGTCACTTTCGTCTGGCGACCAAGCAACATGCCCAGGTTAGTTACACCACGGTGCCCAAAACCTTATGATTATAATATTAAGTTGTTTTTTCTTTGTTTGTTTTCCAGACAACATCCGCATCGGGGGCAGAGATGCCTGACAGAGCTTTTGCCCTCCCTACAGTTCAGCGGTACAAGGAGCAACAAATATCATGCGCAAAAAACGAAACAAGGCATGTCAGTGTGAAGCATCGATACATAATACGATGGAGCGTCTCCCATAAAATGGGTAGAGAAAACAAATACAATTTACACCAAACAATAATGTGTTTCTTACTCCTCTGAAAAATAAAAAATAAAACATAAACTGCCTCATCATTCTGACATGAAGTGTGCAATTCATAACATTTCAGCAGAAAAAGATTGGATAAAACTGTTTCCTCGGACGCCCTGAGGCGGCATACCTCCCAGGCTCTAGCTGCCAGACGCTGGAGGCATCTGGCAACTAGAGCCTCCGGAGGCAACTAGAACCTCCGCAGGCTCTAGTCTGCAACCAGAGCCTGCGGAGCTTGCGGACATGCAATGTCCGCAAGTTCATAAAAAAGGGTAATTACGCGAATACTACTTGTCCACGCAATACCTATTTCACGACAGACACTTCCATATACGAAAGAAAATGCAACACCACCGTCACCACCATCCTTTTGCAATGATTTTTAAATATATAAAACGACCGATCAAAGTTTGTTTTTATTTGTTGCGCTTAGAGTTTTTGTTATAAGGAAAGTTAAAGCTTGCAGAACGTAATTTATTCTTAAAGGTGGCATTTTTCGCTTTGAATCTCAAAACGTGTCGAATCAGTCTGTGATTGATGTGAGGACTGTTTGTACACATCTATTGCGAGAATTTGAAATAATAAATCTAATCTGCTTTCAGTATATTATATTTGATAAAAAATGCCCGCGTTCTTGCATTCCTTCTGTCTCCTCTATAATTTCCATACATACGCAGGTTTTTTTGTTGTTTTTATTGTTCTTTTTGCGAGAGAATTAGTTTATTGTAATTTGTGGCAGCAGTTGTTCACCACACCATGATGCCATAGCTGATTTTGCAGCTGATCAGTATAATGTCCGTTGAAGCCAGGTAGGGGGTAGATTTTGTGCGCTACAAATGCCTCCAGTACCTCGGGATAAGTCAGCTTCAAGTTCATTACCATGGGGATTCCAAGACAGGTCCTCTGTAAACCTTCCACCCAAAAATCTTTGATCTCTCACTTGCTCCAGTAGCGTGCCCTCAAATGTTATCTTGATAGTGCCGTCATCTCGCTCATTCATGGGCTTAAATATTACATACTTAGTTTTACTTTTATTAAAACCTCCATGGTCTATTTCTAAGCATTTAGAAAGTTTGAAAAGGTATTCATTAGCTAATTTCTCCACACTCCTTTTTGTCTCGGCAGAAAAAATTCCAAAGACACCTAAACGCTTCTTACGAGTTGTGAATGCAAATGCATGAATATGCCTCTCTTCCACTCCGTACTTTGTCTGCGGTATACTGGCGTGGACGGCCGCATTTCGCCACTGCAAAGGTTGCGGCCACCGACGTTAGATGCCTCAGGCGCTGCCAAGAGGAACAGCCGACGTCCCCCTCCGGCAACGCCAACACGACTCCCGTGAAGCGGCCGCCAATGGCTATCTAGGAGCAGTTTTGCTCAGCCAATGGGAGAATGCGCATTTCCTTCGCGTTTTTTTGTGGTTACAGATGCCGCCGGCTCCGCTCCTCAAGAGAGTTCATGGCTTCGCATTAAAAAAAATGTTTGCGCCATCAGCGTACATTATCATCTCATGGCAGCCTGGTGTTTGCTATATCATATACATACACAAAGAATAGGATCGGCCCTAAAATGGAACCTTGGAGAATGCCGTGCTGCGTTTTAATTTTGCTAGAAGAGGTACCATTTATGCTCACATATTGGAACCAATTTGTGAGATGTTTTAGTGTTAATGCTACTCCCCGTACTCCATAGTTTTAAACTTTTTCGAGTAATACGTTGCATTCTACAGTTTCAAATACCTTTTCTTACCATAAAATACCGAGCATGCACCCCCACTCGTGTAAGCGCCCCTTCCTGTTTTAAGAAAATTTTGCATTTTCACTTAGGACCTAACTCCCGTCAACCTCTTGAAGGTGCTTTTTACAGCGGAGCTGCTAAGGGCCAGTTTCCCGAGGATGTGAAAACCCGCAAAGAAATGTCGACACAAAACTCTGGACAGCTATCACCATCTATGAGCGACAGCGGCAACCAGACAACCGGCTTCCCGGCCTTGCTCATAGATGGCGGCAACATTTCCAGCCTTTCCACTTTGTTTTTCACGAGATCGCGCAGCGCGATGGCCGACGCAAATCGCAGGTAGAAAAGCGCTCCACTAGGCCTAACTTCCTACCCCAGCCAGCATTCGTTCGGCTGAAATCCGAACCCCACGGGGTTCCACCCCGGACCCCATCGTCAACCCTGGACGACGCCGTAGCCGGGTATCCCGCTTCACCAGCGGACGCTGAGGACCAGGCCTCCCTGAACCCGAACTGCACCCCGAGAAGGGCATTCAATGGCAAGATCCGCGTCCTCACAAAGACGCAGGTAATGAACCAGGCAGCCAGGAATCCATACCCGGCACCCTCAACTGAAAACATCGCAGCGATGCAAAGCTCAGCGCAATCACCACTGAGCGTGGACCCAGCAGAGTGGAAGATGTACCTTGAATTTCAGCAATTGCGAGAAACCTTCAACGCGTTTTTGCAGAACCAAAAAGAGGTAGCAGAATTCATGTCTCTCAAGCAAGAGCTAAAAGAGTACATGGCTCACAAGCAAGAAATTCAAACATTTCTTCTAAGCAAATCGAGCACGTCTTCCGAAGGCGAAGCAGCGGCAAATCCTCCCGAGAAAGACGACGACGTTGGAAACAATATGACACCAATGGATGAAGACAAAGGCAACGACGGTGAATGGCAGCCCTCCCGTAGGCGCAAGCACCGCAGCTCAGACAATGCGCAGAATACTACATCACGCACTGCACCCACGCAGACAGTTGTGCTCAAGCCAACCTGTAAGGCCGAAGTATATAGGTTTACCGGGAGAGACATCTGTGCCGCTATTGAGAAGACCGGCGTGCGCAACAAAGATGGCTTCTCGGTACATATGAGCGAGAAATCCAACACGATTTCAATAACCACAAAGAATCCACTCATCACAAGTAAGCTGCTCTCCATCGGAGAAATAAAAAAGGATGACAAGACGTATGAGGTCACACCTTATATGGCTATGGCTAGCAATCAAGTCAAGGGAGTGATCTATCTGCACGGCTCCGACAATAAGGAAACGCCCGAAACTCTCATGCAAGACCTCATGTGTCGAACAAATAAGATTGTTGCGGCCAGAGTGATAGGCAGATCCGGCAGGACCGTCCTTATCACATTTGAAGGCAAGTCCATTCCAAAATACGTACGTTTCTTATACGAATCCTACCCAGTATCATCGTACAGACCACGACCCGTAGTCTGCTTCAACTGTCACGAAATCGGACATAAGTCAGATGTCTGTCCCAATAAAACTAGCCGTTGCGACAAGTGTGGACACGACCACAGCAAGGACAGCGACTGCGAGCTACAACCCAAATGCCACAACTGCGGAGGCTCTCATGTGGCCACCAGCAATGATTGTCCCAAGCGCAGGATTCCGCCGAAGAGGCGAACGACGCACACAGCCACGCCTCCACAAGAGAACAAAACAAACAAACCGGCCCCCACCAAAGGAGCCCCGGGCCCGTCCCCAGTGATACCAACCACACCAAGTAAGGGAGCATGGAGCACTCCCTTATGTTTCACCGATACTGGCGCACCGGTGGTACTTGGCATGCCATCCAACAAACAGGCAGAAACACCCTCAGCAACCGTAGAGCTCGCCATCTGGCAAAGCAAGGTAGAGGCAAGAATGACCTCCGTAGAAACTTCGATAAAAGAAATGAAGCAAATGTTAGGGACCTTATTGAGCAAGCTCAATGTATAATCAGTCCCATCAGAAGACACGCAATCACACCGACAAAAAGAAATATATGCCTTGGATCATGCAATGGAACTGCAGAGGATTTCAAACCAAAGCTGCGGAACTTAAACTTCGATTTCAAGACAAGAGAGTAGAAAAACCAGCAATGATTCTCTTGCAAGAGGCGGATTGTGAGAACATAACACTTCCGGGCTATGTCACATTCACAACGCCCACCATAACAAGGCACAAAGGAGCCACGCCCCGTTCTTATGGTATAGCTGCAACACTGGTTCATAAAGGAGTACACCACGCAAAAATCGACACGTCAAATATCAGCGATAATAATAAAGAGGTGATCGGCATCAAGATCAAGATCGGTAGCAAGACCCTGAATGTTTTTAATATCTATATCAGACCAACTATAACGGAAGACAAAGACTGCAAATGGCTCGACCAACTTTTAACGGACAAAACACCAACGATTCTTTGTGGCGATTTTAACGCCAGACACACGATGTGGGGATACAAAACGACGAACAGGAGAGGAAGGTCCATCAAGAAGTTGTGCGAGACTCATAATCTCGTACTTCTTAACGACAAAGACACGCCGACAAGGATATCCCAAAACCCTTCGCAGGCCGACACGTCGCTGGACCTAACATGGGCCTCCAAGGGGCTCCGAATGTCCTG